TGCATTTGTAATTTTTACAATAATATATTGTTTAATAATTGATGGTTGTTTAAAAATTTATTTATTTTCTAATAAAGAAAGTTGGGATTGAAGACGCCAGGTAAAAGAGATGAACAGTACATGACCGGAGTTATGTCATGATCTCTTTCGAATAGATGATCTTTCCATAGGGAGTGAATATTCTCAACAATTCGTCTAGTTTCTCCATCTTGTTCATTTTCTGGAATAGTTTGCAATCCAATCGAAACACCAAAGTCTCTGAAACCTAATCTTCTTCTTGTACTCTTAATCGTGCTTTCGAATATCTCTTCTATATTAGAAATGGCAACTTTTCTCATATGATTCGCCCAATCTTCATCAGGAAACCAACTGGTCAACCAAAGAGTTTCTCCCAAATCCAGAGGATCTGAACTCTGATACATTAAATACTTTCCCATCACCATTCCCTTCATTTCTTCAATTTCTCTATTCAAAACACTTCCATCCACATTCTTTCCTTCTTTTAATTGCTGGTTGACCAATTGTAAAAGTCTATAAGTAACATAACCATCATAAGGATCCAAATTTCCTTCAGATCTCACAACTGGTCTCGAACCATCAATAGAAATCTTCCAGAACATCCTCAATCCACGTGAAGAACTATGATTGATAAACTTGTTATGCATGGATTGGGCCATTTCAATTGCCCATTCATTGTATTTGACATCTCGAGTGATTAGTGACGTTCTGTTGAGGGCAAACATCCATTTGGTGAGATAGGCATGAATCGAAGTTGGCAAAAACACAAAATGATAAAAATCTGATAATAAATATATTGTTTATTATGTATTTGAATAGTAGTGACGAAAGACATTTTTCAAGTTGGTGAAGTACATGTTGAGATATGGTATATGTACATGTTGAAAATATACATGAACCTATCATCATGATAACCAATAGGAAAATATTCGGAAGTAATTTTACCTGATGGAATCGACTATGCTGAACAATACTAGATTGAAAGTTTTCCAAATTATCATATAAATCGGGCAGTGATGATGATTTTAGTGAAAATATTGAATTTCACTAAAATATTATTATTATCAGATTTATTTCCACAAATATTACTATTATAATGATGATAAATAACAATGATGATGGTTGGTAGTTGTTCCGATGATGATGTACCAACTTGAATTTTTCCAAATAATAAAATTATTTCCAAATCATGATGAACAATTAAATTCCAAAAATTACTATTAATACTACTATTTAAATGATGATGAGATGATGTGGTGAAATTCTTGGAGTTAATAGATGTGAAACTACTCCAAGAATCAACAGAGTCGTGATGGACTTACTTGTTGTCAATATTTTTGAAATATTTTTCCAAGTTCTTGTTGATTGATTATAACTAAGGATCGGTATATCCAAAGATATTTTTCGCATAGCTCAATTATGCGAACAGTTTTTTTTGCATGGTTTGTCAGGCAGTTTTTTTTCGCCTATAACATTGACCATCGCCATCTTCGTCATCTTCATCGGCTTCCTTGCCAATTCGTAAACCTCCCAATAGGGGATGTTCAGCATTGGATTTTCCTTTCGTCGATTTATTAGATTAGTTATTAGAAACTGCATGTGCTTACCCAAATAATGTTGCAATGAACGATCCTTTCCAAGAACTTGATGCACCTCTTCAATAAGTGCCTTAGCTTGTTCCAAATACGAATCTTGACCACTTTCCACATGCAACGAAAGGAAATTGCAAACTGCAAACGCATCAGTCCACAAGTATCGAGTTTGTGTTGCAGATTTCAATGGTTTGGGTTTGTAGTGTGCTCCACTGAATTTACCATACACTTGTTCCATCACTTCAATGCATTTATCTTTTAACATTTTTTTTTGAGAGTTGTTGTTTTTGATTTTGGAGAATTTGTAGAATTGCTTTAAAAGGAAATTTATAAAATATCAAATTACTTGATTTGGTAGAGTCTACAATTAGCATGAGAATATCAAAACCCCATTTGTTTAAGGGTCCCTAGACAGCGACGCTTATCTTCCTCACTTTAATGAATTTATCAAGTGTTGATAGTATTTCTTTATTTGTCAGTTATTTTTTTGACAATTATGGAGAATCTTATGAGCTTTGATATTCTTATTATGAAATACATAATATTGTTCCTTTAAGAAATTGAGATTTTTGTAATCAAGTTCACAGTCAACTCAAAAACAAAAATTATCAAAAAAAAAAAATGCTCAAAATCTACCACGATCACGCCAACGATAGATCATCAACCAATCACCAAGAACCCTTTCATATTGTAAATACGAACACTTGCAAAACCATTAACATTCCCAATTTTGAGAGAATTAAAAAAGTTGTAATCAATCAGACAAGTGTACATGTCCTATCGGAGAGTGGTCAGGTTTATATTTTTAAAGATGGTTTTGATAGTAGTAGCAGCAGTAGTAACATACCAATTCAAGTTCCTTATCTTCTCGACACTACAACAAATGGAAAATTATTGATTGAAGATGTTTCGACATTTTCGGAGGGATCAACACTTTATTTGGTTCGTGATGAGATGAATAATACATTTCTCTATGGAAGTGGCAGTACGGCCTATGATTGTTTTGGAGGTAATCGTCATTGTATGAATGAGGATGGTACGGAGAAATTTACTCTCCTTTACACTCCTCCGACCGTAAATGGATACAGACATCAAATTACACATATTGCATCATGTTATTCCTTTACAATAATCGTTTTGGATTACTGTGATATTAGAATTTCAGGTCAGGATTGGGTGCATTCTGTTCACACGGTAATGGGTTGGCATGTAAGCCAGTTTTGTTGTGAAAAGAAAATTAAGAAAATTGAATGTGGAAGCTTTCAATTTTTTGTAATATTTGAAGATGATACTGTAATGTTTTGTGGAGATAATGGAAGTAATCAGATGCCACATACTGAAGGTACCGCACATTTTTCTGTGGATTATGAAATGAAAATTTCTGAAGCTTTTGGAGGATACGATTGCTCGGTAGTGAGATTTGCAAACACTACTCCAACTTATGAGAATTACATGTTATATGGAAGTGCAATGCTGGAATATAAGAATTTGAAACAGTTTTTGAGCTGTTATCCAAAATTTTCTGAATCCAATTCAGACAATGCAAAGATTAGATATATTAAGGATATATTCTTTATTGAATTCAATGGCTTATTTTATGCGATAAGCAATAGTCATAATATGAGATTTGTGGTGGATGCTTCAAAAGAATTTGATGGAATTCCTGGAAACAATTATCAAATTACTGCACATTCAAGTACAGTTGTTTTTTACAAAACATTTTCAGCAGTCATTTATCCCAAGTTAGCTACTTATCTTAGAAATCAATCAATACTCACTGATTGCTATTTTCAGTTTGAATGATTTGTTATGTGAATATTGCAATCATGTCTTTAATTATGAATACTAATGAAACACTCTATTTCATGTGGAAAAACCCTTTCTTCTTGCAGCATCCAATACCTGTGTAATGGTTTCCACTTTAAGTACATATTTAATTCAATTTTATTAATTAAGTATTTAATTGGCAGTTTATGTTAATTGCCATGTAGAATTGTTCAACTCAGCTTTCCAATCATCAGGAGTGAATTGGCTTCCAATTAAACATTGCAATAATTCACCAAAAAAAATGCAAGCCCTCATTCCTTTCGATAGATCTGCAAAGCAATTTACCAGCGAATTTCCTTCCCAGTTTTCAAGCATTCTCGCTCCAGAGACCTTCGACTCACACTTGGAACAAATTAATAAGTGTGCCATAAAACATGTTGGGCCAATTACAATTCAAACAATATCGGTTTCCACCCTCGTGACAATTAATTCTCTCGCTTTGATGGCTGCTGTTAGTGGTTTTTCTACCTTGAAGAAGTATGATACTTCACAACCAATTTTGGTCGGTTCTCTATTGGCAATAGGTATTTCCTTGCTTTTAATTGCTCACTCTATTGCTCTCATTTTAATGTCAATTAAATATAAACAAGAATTGAGAAGTGTTTTACAGAGATTATCTCAAGAGTCTGATGTTACTTATGTATTAGAGAATTCATGGTTTTCCCAAAAGATTAGAATGGAAGGAAATCAATATTCAGCTCATGAAGTTTAGAAACAATAAAATAACAATTAAAAGAATATAAAATCCAAAATATAGAATTTCTATAATGTAATATTTAATAATTTACTTAATTTGGTAGAGTCTCCAATCGATTAAAGTACTTGTGTTGATTGAATGCCAGATCCACTCAGAAGAAACTACATTGACTTGTGGATTTTCTGAAACAAGTTTGGCAATCTCTGGTGTAATTCTCGATGATGATGTGATAATATGAGTGATATCA